ACCCCGTCTCTACTAAAGATACAAAAAATTAGCTGGGCATGGTGGCATGTGCCTGTAATCCCAGCTACTTGGGAGGCTGAGGCAGGAGAATTGCCTGAACCCAGGAGGCGGAGGTTGCGGTGAGCCGAGATCGCGCCATTGCACTCCAGCCTGGGTAACAAGAGTAAAACTCCATCTCAAAAAAAAAAAAAAAAAAAGATATAAATTTTTTCAACAGCATAAAAGCCACAAGTTCCGACGCACACAAACCACAGCATGGTTTACCCACTTCTGTCAAAGATCAGGAAATATTTCTACCAGCTAAAGTGGCTCCACCACGTGACAGAAATAAAAAATTCTTTGAAATCAATGAAAGCAGAGACACAAGATACCAAAATCTCTGGGATGCAGCAAAAGCAGGGTTAAGATGCAAGTTTAGAACACTGCACACCTACACTGAGAAGTTAGAAAGATTTCAAAGTAACCAGCTAACATTACATCTAGAAGAACCTGAAAAACAAGAACCTCAAAGCTAGCAGAATAAAAGGAATAACTAAACTCAGAGCAGAACTGAATAAAACTGAGATCCAAAAATCCACACAAAGGATGGACAAAACTGGAAGCTGGTTTTTTGAAAGGATAAACAAAATGATAAGCCCACTAGCTAAACTAACAAAGAAAAGAAAAGAGACGATCCCAATAAGCCCAATCAGAAATGACAAAGATGGCATCACACCCAATCCCATAAAGATACCAAGATCCTAGAGGCTGTTAGGAACACCCCTATCCACACAAACTAGACAACCTAGACACACAGACCAAAGGAACAGAATAGAGAACTGACAAGTAAAGCCATACATCTAGAAAATCTGATATTTGACTAAGTCAACAAAAATAAGCAATGAGGAAAACACTCCCTGTTCAATAAATGGTGCTGGATAGCTGGCTGTTACCTGCAGAATGAAACTAGACCCCTACCTATCACTGCATACAAAATTTAACTCAAAATAGATTACTTAAATGTAGGACCTAAAACTGCAAAAATCCTAGAAGAAAACCTCAGAAATGCTCTCCTGGAAACTGGCGCTGGCAAATAATTTTTATGACTAAGTCCTCAAAAGCAATAGCAACAAAAACAAAAATTGACAAGTGGGACCTAATTAAAGAGCCTCAGCACATTAAAAGAAACTATCAACAAAGTAAACACCCTACAAAATGGGAGAAAATATTCACAAACCATGCATCCAACAAAGGTCTAATATCCAGAATCTACAGGGAACTTAGATCAATAAGCAAAAAACAAATAACCTCATTAAAAAGTGGGCAGAGGGCTGGGCACGGTGGCTCACACCTGTAATCCTAGCATGTGGGGAGGCCAAGTCAGGCAGATCAGAAGGTCAGGATTTCAAGACCAGCCTGGCCAACATGGTGAAACCCCATCTCTACTAAAAATACAAAACAAACAGCCAGCCATAGTGGTATGTACCTTTAATCCCAGCTACTCAGGAGGCTGAGGCAGAAGAATTGCTTTAACACAGGAGGCAAAGGTTGCAGTGAGCTGAGATCACACCACTGCACTCCAGCCTGGGAAACAGAGTGAGACTCCATCTCGGGGAAAAAAAGTGGGCAGTGGTCAGGCGTAGTGGCTTACACTTGTAATCCCAGCACTTAGGAGGCCAAGGTGGGCAGACTGCTTGAGGTCAGGAGTTCCAGACCAGCCTGGCCAACAAAAATTAGCTGGGCTTGGTGGTGGGTACCTCTAATCCCAGCTACTCAGGAGGCTGAAGCAGGAGAATTGCTTGAACCTGGGAGGCAGAGGTTGCCGTGAGCCAAGACTGCACCATTACACTCCAGCCTGGGCAATAGAGCAAGACTCTGTCTCAAAAAAAAAAAAAAAAAAAATCAAAGTAAACACCCCACATAATGGGAGAAAATATTCACAAACTATGCATCCAACAAAGGTCTAATATCCAGAATCTCTAGGGAACTTAAAGAGATCAACAACTAAAAAGCAAACCTCATTAAAAAGTGGGCAGAGGTCAAGTGTGGTGCTCACTCCTATAATCCCAGCACTTTGGGAGACTGAAGTGGGCAGATCACTTGAAGTCAGGAGTTCAAGACCAGCCTAGCCAACATGGCTAAACAGTGTCTTACTAAAAATACAAAAATTAGCTGGGCATGGTGGCGCACCCTTGTAATTCCAGCTACTCAGGAGACTGAGGCACAAGAATCACGTGAATTCAAGACACAGAGGTTGCAGTGAGCTGAAATTGCACCACTTTATTCCAGCCTGGGTGACAGTGAGAATTTGTCTCAAAACAGATAAATAAATATTTAAAAAAGAAGACATACAAGTGGCCAACAAACATGAAACATGGCAAAATACTCCACTTTGCAAATCAAAACCACAATGAGATACCATCTTGCACCAGTCATAACGAATATCATTAAAAAGTTGGGGTTGTCGGCGCTCCAGCCAGGGCCTTACAACGGCCCGCTTAAAAAAAAAAAAAAAAAACTTAAAAAAAAAAAAAAGAATATCATTAAAAAGTCAAAAATTACACATGTTGGCAAGGCTGCAGAGAAATGGAAACACTTATACAGTGCTGGTGGGAATGCAAATTAGTTAAGCCACTGCGGAAAGCAGTTTGGAGATTTCTCAAAGAACTAAAAATGGAACTACCATTCAACCAAGCAATCCCATTACTGGGTGCGTACCCAGGAGAAAACAAATCATTCTACCAAAAGACACATGCTCTTGTATGTTTACCTCAGCACTATTCATAATAGCAAAGCTATGGAATCAATCTGGGTGCCCGTCAATAGAGGACTGGATATACCACGGAATATGCAGCCATAAAAAAGAACAAAACTATGTCCTTTCCAGCAACAAGAATACAGCTCAAGGCCATTATCCTAAGGAAATTAACACAGAACCAGAAAAGCAAAGTGTTCTCACGTTGAAGTGTGAGCTAAATACTGGGTCCTATGGACATAAAGTTGGGAACAGGAGATACTGCGGACTACCAGAAGGGGAAGGGAGAGGGACAAGGATGAAAAGCTGTCTGTTGGTTATTATTTGTACTACCTGGGTGACCGGATTATTCATACCCCAGACCCCCAGACTTCAGCATCCCGGATACATCCATTTAAAAACCTGCACGTGTACTCGCTGAATCTAAATAAAAGTTGGGGAAAAAAAAAAAGACATGAACAGACACCACTCAAAAGAAGACACAGACAGCTGGGCATGGTGGCTCACGCCTGACACGCCAGCACTTTGGGAGGCTAAGGCAGGTAGATCACGAGGTCAAGAGATTGAGACCATCCTGGCTAACATGGTGAAACCCTGTCTCTACTAAAAATACAAAAAAATTATCCAGGCATGGTGGCATGCGCCTGTAGTCCCAGCTACTGAGGAGACAGAGTCAGAAGAATCACTTGAACCCGGGAGGCAGAGGTTGTGGTGAGCCAAGATTGCACCACTGTACTCCAATCCAGCCTGGGTGACGGAGTGAGACTCGGTCTCAAAAACAAAAAAGAAATAGACATAAAAGCGGCCAATAAACATATGAAAAAATGTTCAACATCACTAATCACCGGAGAAACGCAAATCAAAACCACAATGAGACACACATCTTGACTTCAAGACAGGTTTGAGTCTTAACCCTCTCACTTACTGCATGCATAACCAGGGAAAATTAATTTCCATGAGACTCAGTTTCTTCAACGATCAAAGGGAGACTAAAACAAAAAATCTACCTCATTTAACATACGCTGGAATGTGGTATACACTCAAATTGTAGTTGTTATAATTATTTTTAAACTAGCAAAAAGAAAGTAGATTTAGATATTCAAGGCTGGGCATGGTGGCTCACACATGTAATCCCAGCCACTCAGGAGACAGAGTCAGGAGGATCACTGGAGCCCAGAAGGTCAAGGCTTCAGTAAGCTATGACTGCACCACTGCACTCCAGCCTGGGTGACAGAGGGAGAGTCTGTCTCAAAAAAAAACGATATGCAGCAAATATTATTGAGTGCCAACTCTGAACAAAGTCTACTCCGTGAGGTTACCTAACAGTCTTTCAAAAACAAGCAATCTAATAAGAGACAGGTCAGTCTCTCTAAAAAGGAAAACTGTTATAAGCATTAACAAAGAGAGGTAGATTTAATACATCATGGGAAGACCGAAGAAAGAGAAATTAATTCTGACCTAGAAATGGTTTTCACAAGTGTTATGTGAACTATGCCTTGAAAGAAGCCTAGTCAGATATGTTCCTTGAAACTTATTCCACACTAGTGATTCTCAAACTTGAACATGCATCAAAATCACACAGACAGCTGTTAAAACACACAATGCTGGGCCTATCCCAGACTTTGTGACTCAGTGAGTCTGGGGCAGGGGCGGCAGGCAGGGGAGAAGTGTCTGAAAATCTGTATTTACCAGGTGACACTCATGCTAATGGTCAAGGAAACCCTCTCTGAAAACTCCTGTCCTAGGCACACAGTGCTTGAACGAAACTGACAGGTGATACACAGGGTGCGCCTGAGGAAGTGGAAAAGGGCAGCTGCAGGAACACTGGATTTGCACGTGTAGTTAAGGCATACGGTCAGAAGTCTTAAAATGAAAACTTTCTAAACAAAGCACTTTCCAGGATAAGTTACCTTTCCTAGGAAGGTGAGCTGACATTCAAGATATTTAACTACTTCTCCGGGCTATCACATTTTTTTCTCTCTAACCTGGTATCTTTTAACTGTACTCCATAACATCAGCTTTGCATCACACACGTAAACAGTAAGGTAAAGAGGCCTTATCTTACAGCAGACTTCTGGCCACGAGTTATTTAAGTTTATAAAGAAGAGAACGGTGTCACTCTATTATTCTTTATAAATAAGAATATAACACTAACACATCCTAAATGTTAATATTTTACCTAGCATGCTATAGGTTAAAATTCTTCAAAAAAAAATTGAAACCTAACAGTTTCACTTATGCATTTTAAGAAATGTTTCATACTCACCAAAGCCATCAATATCTAGATTATTTTCAACCACAACATCTAGCAGAGAATCACCAACTTTTCCTTTGGTTGTTAATGTTTCACCATCACGGTTTACAAAGTGGACTGTTATTTTATCTTCTGAGCTGGAAAAGAAAGCAGTCCTTTAGTATTTTTAGTAATTTCAAAACATAATTTAAAATAATTAGTTTAAAAGCCTATAAAGCCTCCAGAGTAGATGGGACTACAGGTGTCCAGCACCGCATCTGGATAATTTTTTTATTTTTATTTTTCTGTAGTGACAGAGTGTCACTATGTTGCTCAACTGGTCACAAACCTTAGCCTCGATAAGTCCTCTCAACTTGGCCTCCTAAAACTCTGAGATTACAGGCCTGAGCCACCATGCCTAGCTGAAAGTATTTTCTTTTCTTTCCAAAGTTTATTTGGGAAGAAGGCATGACACATCAAAGGCATATATATCTACCCACCTACCAGGTAATAAGCTCTACTACCTTACGGGAAATGGCAATGACTACCCGGTCAAGGCCACCTGGTGGCCTCAGTACGTGTCTGCCTAATAGTCAGTTACAAGACATTTGGCAATTATCATCACTCATGAAGTCTATTTTACTCTCATAAAAGCCGGTGCAGCGGCTTGCACCTGCATTCCCAGTACTTTGAGAAGCTGATGTGGGAAGATTGTTTGAGGCCAGGGTTTTGAGACCAGCCTGGGCAACATAGCAAGATCCCACCTTTACAAAAAATAAAATAATTAGCCAGGTGTAGTAATATGACCTGCAGGCCCAGCTAATTGGGAGGCTGAGATGGGAGGATACCTTCAACCCAGGAGGAAGAGGAGGCTGCAGTAGAATATGATTGCACCACTGCACTCCAGCCTGGCCAACAGGACGAAACCCATCTCTACTATAAATACAAAAATTAGCTGGGCATCATGGCGCATGCCTATAATTCTAGCTACTTGGGAGGCTGAGGCAGGAGAATTGCTTGAACCCAGAAGGCGGAGGTTGCAGTGAGCCAAGATCGCACCACTGCACTCCAGCCTGGGGGGTAGAGTGAAACTCTCTCTCCAAAAAAAAAAAAAAAAAAAAGCAAATCATTCTGCTCTCAATAGGACGACTGCTGTGCTACATAGAATACTATCGCTGAGAGAAGTTGTTTAGAGTTTTCTGTGTATCTGACATCTCATTTCAGTGCACATTACATACTTCCAAATCAAAGGGACTAGAAAAAGTTTTTCATTTGTTTGAATCTGTAAGATAAATACCTCTTTGAATCTGTTTTATAAGCTAGCTTGTTAGCTATCAGCTAGCGGACTTAAATTTCTTTCACTTCTCACAAACATCCCTCCAAAACTTGAGAAAAGACATTATACTAGCAACTAGATCCTTATTCCTCCACCATCGTTCATTTTAATTTTTACCTCACATTTGAAAAGATTCTCAACTTAAAATGAGTTGTTATTCTTCCTACTACCAACAGATGGCAAGAGCCCATCAACTACATCTTCAAGCAAAACTCAGAATTAAATAATTTCAGAGCCATAACTATCTTGAAAATTATCAAGTCCAATGATCCCATTCCACAAATGAGGCAACCGAAGCCCTCCCTAATCTTATAACACTGGAAAGAACCAGGATTCTATTAATTAAAACTCATCAAAAGGGTGTACGTATGTACGGGAATGTTCCTCAAAGGGGCCTGTGCTCTCCAACTTTTTATCACAGCCAAAAATGCTTTAAAACTAGTATTCCCACACATTATTCATGATTTTCAACAAGACAACTGCCATTTTTTTCAAAGTAGAATGGCTGAGAATGAAAATACCCAGGAGGCAGAAAGACCACTCTGGAGGTAATCAGAAGACCACAAACTAAGCCAGGACAGAGAACACAGTGACTCAATAGACATCCAGGAGGCAGACCAAACTTTAGTGACCATCTACATAAGATAAACTGAAAAGGGAGGAAGAAAAACACTGGGATTTCCAGCTCACGCAATTGGGTGGTACCGTTTAACCTAGGTTTAAGACAGGAAGCAAGGAGGGGTGAACCAGCCCAGGTCGGAAATGGAGCAGGTCAAAACTCCCGTGCTGATCAGTAGTGGGATCGCACCTCTGAATAGCCACTGCACTCCAGCCTGGGCAACATAGCCAGACCCTGTCTCTAAATAAATAGATAAATAAAAAAGACAGGAAGCAAAGGAGCTTTGGGGAAGATGGAAATAAGTTCAAGCTTAGACCTGCTGAATTCAATAGTGAAAAAGCTAGATAAGAATGTCCAGGCTGGGCGCGGTGGCTCAGCACTTTGGGAGGCCGAGGCGGGTGGATCACGAGGTCAAGAGATCGAGACCATCCTGGTCAACATGGTGAAACCCCGTCTTTACTAAAAATATAAAAAATTAGCTGGGCACGGTGGCGCATGCCTGTAATCCCAGCTACTCAGGAGGCTGAGGCAGGAGAATTGCCTGAACCCAGGAGGCGGAGGTTGCAGTGAGCTGAGATCACGCCATTGCACTCCAGCCTGGGTAACAAGAGCAAAAAACTCCATCTCAAAAAAAAAAAAAAATGTCCAAAAGCCAGATGGAAATACGGGTATGGGTCTGAGCCCAGCAGAGAAGTCTAGAGATTTGACATCAGTGAAAGCTTGGAAGTACATTAGAAAGAATTCCATCATTTATAAACACCACTGAAAGCCAGAGGTTTTAGTATTGCTGTTCTTCTGAAGCACTCTAGAGCTAAGCTTACAGCAAAGGAATTTGAAATCTCTTTTACATCAGCCTCGTCTTCTACAAAATCAGGACATTAACCTTACAGTTCTGACAATGTATGCAAAATACATAACACAGAGTAGAATTCAACAAACACTGATTAATAACTTTCATTTAAAGACCAAGCGCTTTTGCTAAGAAGCCCAATCTGCTGGTCTGTATTAAAGGCGTACAGCCCTACAAAACAACTGCCAAGTAAGAGCATTAACAGGTTGACCAAAGAACAGGAGAGGAACTGGAAATGAGAGAAAAAGGCAATTCTTTAGCTGAAAGAGTATGGAACCTAAGAGTCGGAAGCTGTAGACACTAGGCCGGGCACAGGGGTTCATGCCTGTAATCTCAATACTTAGGAAGGCTGAGGCAGGCAGATCACTAGAGGCCAGGAGTTCGAGACCAGGCTGGCCAACGTGGTGAAACCTTCTCTCTACCAAAACAGTGTGCAAGTGTGGTGGCACGCACCTGTAATCCCAGCAATTCAGGTGGCTGAGGCATGAGAATCGCTTGAACCTAGGAGACAGAGGTTGCAGTAAGCCACGATGGCACCACTACACTCGGGTGAAGGGTGCACCAAAACCTCCAAAATCACCACTAAAAAACTCACCCATTAACCAAACACCACCTGTGCCCCAATAACTACTGAAATTTTTTTTTTGGAAGAAAGCAGCTTTATTGAGGCAGCAGCACTGTTATAACTCTTTTTTTAACTTGCATTTTAGATTTTGGGGTACAGGTGAAGAACATGCAAGATTGTTGCATAGGTACACACATGGCAGTGTGACTTACTGCCTTCCTCCCCTTCACCTATATCTGGCAGTTCTCGACATGCTCTCTCTCCCCAACTCCCCACCCCCCGCAACTAGTGAAATTTTAAAAACAAATAGAAATTAAAATTTCTTTCAAAGATCAACAAAAACTTCTTGAGTTCTATTCCTAGTTTTGCCAACTAATTAATATGAAATTTTTATTCCCATTTATCTATCCTCCCTACCTCATAGAATTGTCTTAAGAGTCATGTGAAATAATACACGTGAAAGCTCTTTGTAACCTAAATCACTGCAAAATTATTGTGTCATGGTATTATTTTAGAGTTAAAGGGGTTTTTCTGACTCTCAGTTACCGATAGCTTATTGAGTTGTTAAACCTCAAAGAACTAGTTTCTAGAACGGCTCTGTCTGTCCGTAAGAACTCTGTGCCATAACAAAGGTGTTCTCCACATACCTGCCATGTCCAATACACATGTGGCTACTGAGTACTTGAAATGCAGCTAGTGTAACTGGGAGACCGAACCTTTAATTTTATTTACCTTTAATTATCTTAAACATCAATAGCCATATGTGATTAGTGGCTACCGTATCGGACAGCACAAGTCTCATTAACACAGTAAGAACTGGAAAATCTAGTTGTAGCTCCAAAGTCTGTAAGAGGAATTATAAGACCACGATTAGAAATTGTACCAGTAAAGAGGGCAGCAGGATTATGAGGAAATAGATGTGTTCCCCTTTAAGACAACCTGACATATCCAAATCCAAACAAATCTGAGAGAGACAACTCCCAATTACTACAAAAACATTCGTGTTCCCTTATACCAGTTATACAAGCATGTTCAATATCTGTCCCAATGTATACAATTGTCCAAAACTCATCTATTGTATAATAGAAAGCAAGGCACCCACACAGGTCAAAGGGAGGGAAGTGCAGAGGAAACAGGAACAAATATAACTGGCTTACCTTCTCCCTGATTTCCCCCAAAGTTCACGCAACAGAAATGTTTGGAGCACCCATTAGATAACGGGATTTGTGGGGAAATGATGACTGCAAGTTCTAAGCCCTGCTCTCAGGGACTTTCTCAAGAAGAAACCAGAAAAAGCAGCATACAAATCCAACACCCTCTTCCTCTAGCTCTTGATTCCTGCTACCCTACATCACGGGGTAAAGAGCTGTTGAGAGATATGCATTATATAAATCTCCACCACGTTGCTAGCGTCTGAAAGTATGTGTAAATTTCATCTGTAGTGTATCTAAGGAGTGTCTCTGAAAAACAAATATGCCCAAGAACCTAAAACTTCAACACATTTGGGAGAAATTGGTCCCATCTTGCAATATTTAATACAAAACCCACTTAACGCTGTGAGCCTAAGAGGCAGCGGCGGCGGCTGCTGCTAGCAGGTGACATCTACAGAGCCCTCACTGCGTGCCAGGCACAAGACTACCTGTATCGCTGTATTAACTCACGTATCCTTCCATTAACCGTAGGAGGTTTAAACTGTTATTATCTTCAACGTGCAAAGGCGGGGACTGGGTTCCTAAGAACTGAGGACGTTAGACACGTCAGACAAATCCCTACCAAAGCCAAGTTTCAAGTCCTGGCAAACTGCTTTCAACACTTAAGGAACTAGCAAAAGGCCTACAGGGCAGCAGAGACATGGGCTCGGTGTTTTCTACCTAAACACTCCCTGACAAAGATCTGAGACCAGGATGTCCTCCCACAGCAGGGCAAGGCCCTGAAAGAAACTGCTGGCAGGAGTGTCAGGCCAGGACAGCAGCAGGGAGCCTGTCACGAAGGTCACTACCAGTTGCAGGCAGAGCAAAGGTCAGATCCCAAACAAATCAAACGGAGAAGGAGCAGCGGCAAACTGCCGGCTTTCCCGAGGGCACCGGGGGCGCTGGGAAAGGGAGCTGGGCGTCCAGGGTGGGTCCCCGATTCCCGCCGGGAGTGGCTGGTGCAGGAAGGAGCTTTGCAGTGAGACGGAAGGGAGGCAGCCACGCCACCGAGCAGCTAGACTGAGCCGCAAGGGCACCCCAGAGGAGCGGGGAGAGAGGCGGGCCTCCGGGGCGTGGGCCCGGCCCGCAGGCGCCCAGGAGAGGCGGTGGACCCGGAGACCCGGCCCAGCGAGCCAGGCACTACCCACCGGGGACCCCGGCCCTGGCCCGCGATCGCACCTGCACGGCGCCCTACCTGCTCCGCGCCCGCGCCGACACGCTCAGCGGACGGCTCGCCCCCGCGCTCCCCCCCGGCGCCCGGCTCCTCAGCGGGCCGCCCGCAACGGCGCGGGACCCAGCGTGGTGCAGCCACCGGCCTGCAGGGCCGCCGAGGACCGCGGAAGCGGCGCGCAGGAGCCGGGCGCCCCCAGCGGCGGCCATCGCCCGCGGTCGGGAACTGCCGGAAGCGACGGTGACCGCGCTGAGGCCGAGAGAGTCTCCGAGAGGCGGGGACCGCAGCTCCGGTGCTGACCCCCGAGGGCCGCGGCAAGGGGCGAGGGGCGCTGGGCTGGAGCGGCAGAGAGGCCCTGCCGCGAAGAACTCGCCGAGTCCCCGCGTGCCTTCCGGGTGACCTATAAAGACACTGGCGAGCGGAGTGCGGCCCCGCCCCGTTCGCCCCCGCGGCCCGGGCCCACGGGGCGGGGCCCGCGCAGGGAACTTTCACCTACCCTCCAGGTTCGGTCGTAAGCTGGATGCTTTGTTAACGCCCGGAGTTGCCATGCAGACACAAAAAAATGTAAAAGAGAGCCGGACGTCTCGCGGAAACCGGTTAGCTAGGCCACTGTGTTCCGCATCCCCCCATCCCCCACCCGTTAAAAAAACTGGGGAATTCTGTCATCTAGGAGTCAAAATTAGAGCAAAAGTGAATTCTGCACACTGTGAAACAAGGACAGTGGGAAAGCTTGGAAAATTTCAGAATGCCATTATACAAGGAAATAATTATGACTATAAAATTGTAAATGACAATAATGAATAGGCTTGGGGCTGCTGCCGACGGGTAGCTGTCCTAGACTTTGGCAAATAAACGCTGGCTGAGTACATCAAACCCGTGAGCCTGAACAGGAAACTTTGTGATGAGCTGAGATTTCTGAAAGACTTTTACAAAACCCAGGAAGATGAACTTTAAAATACACCTTATCATGGTTAATATGTTGAGGGAAATGCACGGGCTTTAAGGTCAGAAATAGCGATGTTCCAATCCAAGGTCTACTACTTCAGAGATCTGAGACCTTGGAAAAATTATTCTCTTAGAGGATCAGAGTTTCCATAACTCTAAACACAGATAAGATATCCCAGCCTTCAGGGCCATTCTGAGGATTAAACTAACACGCAAAAGACACAGTGCGTCACAAACTAGAAAGGCTACCACTTCCTGGGTCTTCCTCCATCAGGGCTCATAAAGAGGCTAAGGCCAGAGACAAGGGGTTAGGGCAGATACGCTAAACACAATCGGATACCTTTTTTTATTTTCTGACATGGAGTCTCTATTGCCTCGGCCAGAGTGCAGTGACATGATCTCGGGTCCCTGCAACCTCAGCCTCCCAGGTTCAAATGATTATCCTGCCTCAGCCTCCCGAGTAGCTGGGACTACAGGCGTGCACCACCCGTGAGCCTGAACAGGAAACTTTGTGATGAGCTGAGTTCATCACCCCGCTAATATTTGAATACTCAGAACAAGAAAGTACAGACCTGAGTAAAGACTCTCCAATGTATGGCGCTCTCTTGAAGCCGATGGCAGAGAGAAGGCAATGGCTCCTAATTTCTCCAAATCTTTGGATGAAGAGAAAGTCTTTCAAGCTGCGAAGGGTGCACCAAACCCTGACAAGTAATCCTGAAGAGGAGGTTGTAAAAGAACAGTTAACTTTAAAAAAAAAAAAAAAAATCAAATCAAACCTCCAAGGTCGAATGAATTAGTTGCAGGAAGAGAATTGGAAAGAAAAAAAAATTGTAGATGTTCCCTCTTCTCTCAGCCCTCCTATAGCAAATACAGTTTCAAGTCCATTAGGCACTTTATAGCTTTCTGCTTTGTAGGGTAGTTCTTTGTATACATACACAGCATTCGTCTTAGTAACTCGGACAGCACCAGCTACAGGGCCTTGAACATGTCAAGGGTCCAATAAGTATGTGTGAATAAATTGACGTTACTTAATTTCCATTAATCATCAGAATTCATTAAGCATGTATATGAAGACTAAAGAAAGAAAAAAATGTTCTCCAGGTTTTCAAAGGTGAATGAGGGGTAATGCCAAAAATTGTCAATATCAGTAGTCAGCAGAATTCCAGAAGGAATTTGTAAACATGGTCATGAATACCGATAAAGCAACGTGGAATTACTAACGACGTGCTTTGGCTTGTCTGTTTGCTTATGTATTTCCTTGTCTATAAAACTCCCACCCTCCATCTCTTTTTTTTTTCTTTTCTTCTTTTTCCTTAGAGATGGGGTTTTGCCATGTTCCCAGGCTGGTTAAGCAATCTGCCCATCTCAGCCTTCTAACGTGCCGGGACTACAAGCGTGGGCCACCATGCCCAGCCCATCTTTTACTCCTTTCAAAATCCATTCATTGTTCGAAGACTTTTGTCTTAGTCTGTTTATGATGCTATAACAAAATGCCACACAGACTGGGTAATGGGTAAAGAACAGAAATTTCTTTTCTCACAATTCTGGAGACTGGGTCTCCCAGGGTCAAGGTGCCAGCTTGTCAGACATTATCTAATGTCTGATAGAGGCCAGTCTCTGCTTCCAGGATGGTATCTTGTTGCTGTGTCCTCACACAATGGAAGAAGGAAGGGCAAACATGCCTAATTTCCTGCGGCCCTTTTATAAAGGTGTCGGTAGAGAAAAATGATGAGACAACGCTCAATTGTTTTAGGAGATTTATCTGCCAAAGTTAAAGATGCATGCCCAGGAGACAGTGCTATACCTTTCTCCTAAGATGATTCTGAGGGCTCCAAATTTAAAGGGGGAAAGGTGGGATATTGAGAAGCACATAATTTTCATGTATGGGGGGATAAGGAAAACTGCTCATTCATGCCTTTGCCTACCTCAGTGAATCTGCATTTTTTTACATAAGTGATTCTCCTGCTTCAGCCTCTCGAGGTGCTGGGACTACAGGCATGCACCACCACACTCCAATAATTTTTGAATATTCAGAACAGGAAAGTGTAGACCTGAGTAAAGTCTCTCCAGTGAATCTGCATTTTTCACATTTGACATAGACAAATGGAGAAGAGAAAAAAATGCAGGAGATCTACATTTTTACGTAAGATAACACGGACACAATGGGGCAGGGGAACAATGAGACATGCATTTGTGTGTGGTGGGCATCGGGGTGACTGCATCTGTAAACATAATCTATCAATTTACATTGCCATGGTGAAATTTTGACAGAAATACCTTAAAAGATCTTGCAGATCACTAGGAATTTCTTTGTGGGTAAAATATGGAGGAGGCCTGTAGCTTTTCATCCTGTAGCCATCTTATTTGGAAACCCAAAATGGGGAGGCGGGTTTGCATAACGTAGTTCCCAGCGTAACTTTTCCCTTTGGCTTAATGAGCCTGGGGTCTCAAGATTTAATTTCCTTTCACGTTTTCCCTTCTTTTTAAAACAATCTTTTGGAGAAAGCATTTTTGAAGGAAGGAATACAACTTTCTGGCCTGGCATTGCTTTTTCGTCCTTTTGTTGTTGTTGTTTGCTTGGTTTGGTTTGGTTTGGTTGTTCTTGTTCTTGAGCTGGTTTCCCCTCACTAGGATGGTTAACTCTTAGAAGTTCAGGTCTCACGTTACTAGGAAGGATCATTTCTAAAAAAAAAAAAATCATGTCTCACGTTGCTAGGAAGGCTCATTTCTAAGAAGTTATGCCTCACGAAGATTAAAAAGAAAATCAGGGAGAAAAGAATGAAAAGAAAAAACACACACACACATATATATATGTATATATATGCTTTATTTATATATTTTATCCAGGGGAGGGGGATACAGAACAGAACTCAGTAGTCCAGCTAACCGGTTTCCGCCAGACGTCCAGCTATCTTTTCTAAATTGTTTGTTGATGCATGGCAACTCCAGGGGCTAAAAAAGCATCCAGTTTACGACCAAACCTGGAGGGTAGGTAAAGGTTCCCTGCTCTGGCCCCGCCCCGTGGGCCCCGGGCGGACGAACAGGGCGGGGCCGCGCTCCGCTTGCCAGTGTCTTTATAGGTCACCGGAAAGCACGCGGGACCTCCCCGCACTCTTCTACTTTAGAAGGCTGAGGTGGGCAAATTGCTTAACCAGCCTGGGAACAAGGCAAAACCCCATGTCTAAGGAAAAAAAAATATATATATATACGTGTGTGTGTGTGTGTGTGTGTGTGTGTGTGTAAATATAAAATGAACCTAGGCCAGATTTATAGCAACAAATAGGTAGCAAACCAGCAAACGTGGAAACTGGGTCAGGTTATATTACTGCCTCCTCAATTAGAGCAGTTCCCTGGGCAGTCATTACCCTGGCCCTTTCAGTTGTGCCTGGACTTATTTGCAAGCACATACCATAACAACATTGTAAGCAGAAACAGGACAGAACAGAAATTATTATTATTATTATTACTATTATAAGCAAGAGCTTCTGCCACCAACTGCCTCAAGATCCAAACCACCCACTCAACCAATCAATTAGTGAGGGTTTTGGATCTGACAGCTTGGTTATCTGGGTTTTTGTGTCAGTCGTAAGTCAGGTTATGTTCTTCGATTCATGCGGAATATAAACACAACATCCAGTTTTTATGATGATGCAGGTCTCCTGCTGTGCTGCGGCGACTTTATCTAAGGCCATATGGTTTGGCCACGCAGCTTTCCTCAAAAGCATGACCTCGTTGTTTAGAAATGAGGTACTCATCGTATAGGACGTTTTTGGTATGATTGATTAAGGCCCCTATATGCTGTATCACGTCTTCAATACCTACCTTCAATCTTCAAGTATGAGGACTGAAGTTAAGTGATCATACCATTGGAAAACTGAAGGTGTCCAGTGAGATTGTAAATGAAAAAGGCTTACTAGTTTTGGCAGGGTCTCAGTTACTCATCCTTGCGTCCAAGCATAACCTAGGGAACATTGTCCTAGGCACCCTGGAGGTGACAACAGCCGTAAGTTAATGCCACACAGCCAATATGTCCCATTTGGAGCTAGCCAATAAATCCGTGGTTGCTACAGATGATCTGTGGCATGCCAGTGTCTTGTAATATGAGAATGTGTCACAGCGTTCCCCTGGTATCCAACCCTTATTTCTCGTACTGTTTGACCATAGGTCCTTGGCGTGGTTTCTTCGCTCCCAGCATTTTAACTGAGTTGGCCAGACGAAGGGGTGGGCCAGATAAATTCATCCCAAATTTGTGTTATTCCATTTTGAAACAGGCTGTTGTCTGGGGCGTAGTTACCACCTTTTGTTTTAGTTGGGGGAGATGCTAAAGTGAGAGCTAATGAGCTGGTCCTCTCCATTGAAAACCTTTTCCCATATTCCTTGTTCTGTTACGCCAGCACTAAGAATACCAGACCATTTCTGTGATATAACACATTTTTGGTATTCTATCCAGGGCTGACCTTGGAAGGGGG